CTCTTCCTGGTGGCAGCAGCTATAGGTAAGTGCATTACTAGGAGAAGGGCTGATGGGGAGCCAGAGACTAAAGTGATTGAGCATCCTGTCTACAAGTGATATCCACTCCTAGGTTCAGCTGAGGCAGTCTTGTGTTGGATGAAGATTCCTGGAGATTCAGTAAAGTTTTCCTGTAAGAACTTAGACTCAGATATCTTTCCCATTTGCTATATAAATTGGGTAAAGCAGAACCTAGACCTGAGCCAGAAAGGATTAGATGGATACTCCCAAGGACTGGCCAAAGAAACTACACACATAAGTTCCAGGACAGAGCCACACAAGGTACAGACACAATATCCAACACAGTCTACAAGGAGCTCAGCAGCCTGACATCTGAGGCTCTTCCATCTATTACTGTACAAAGAACAGTGACAAGAATACATCTGAAGTGTGTCAGAAACACTGAAGGAGCAGGAAGATGGGGAAGAGAGGAGCAGGATGAGTAACCTGAAGACTTTGTCAAAAGCTTGTGCTTAAGTACTGCGGATTGGAACACCCTGCATGCAAGATTCAGAGAGCAGGGGTTTTAAATTAGTGAACTTGAGCCACACATTCTCCTGTTGATATCAATGTGAGCATGTGTTTACCATAATTGAGTCAATACTTTGTAGTAGAAATGTTTGATCACACTTCACATCAATGTGTAATTTCTAGGCGATGATCAGTGTTGCTCTTGATTTTTTATTAACAAAGTTTATTCACCAAATGAGTTCATATTTATCAGCTTTTAGGAATAGGTTCTGAGATTAAGAAGTGATCACTGATTACACATTCATAGTCTTTCCCAGTCTCAATACCCTGCCCTGTAATCACAGCCTGTTACAGAACACTGAATGTAGTGACATAAGACATTCTCCTCCAGTCTTTGGGATACATGGGTGTCACAGTCATCCTCAGTGATTTGCTGAAGACTGTTTAGTAGTTAGTGTTGCCAATTCATGACATTTTCCCAAAAGAATGGGCTGCAGAGGTTGTCTGTAACTTCCTTCAGAGGTAAGTTACAGAGGGGACACTCCAGAGATGTCTAGAAACATCTTCTAAACTGGATCTTCCTGCATCTTAGATATCTGACCACTGAGCAAACCCTATGCATCAATCTATGAGAATCAGATATGAGGCTCTTTCCAGACAGAATTCTCCCTATGGAGGGATTCAATAATTGTACAAGTGGTGCTCAGGTCCTTAAGTAGTGTTCAGAAGAGTAAAATACATCACAGTTACAGGAGGAATTACTGAGGGTTTTAGATCAATGAAAACAGGCTCCAGCCAGAGGAAAAGGGTAAATAATCCACATAGTAAATGGACAATCATAAAAGGAGATAGAAATCAATATATGATGTATTCAAGGAAAACTCCTGCTCACTTGCACATTTATTGCATCTGATCTGCACATATTATAATCCTATTATTACTTTAAGTCAGGAGAATAAGCCCATAGTATCTATTTATATTCTCACAGGGCCCAGAATTTTGTGAATGGATTATATTGTAAGAGGAGATAGTCTCCATACTATTTAAGTAGACATGTACTCCTTTCCATCGTAACCTGTGATGGGCATCAGTATCCCATGCACTAAAGTATGAAATGTGATTTTATAGACATTATTTAGCCTAACAGAGATTATGAAATGCCAAGATAAAACCATTCAGCACCCTGAATTGCAGGGATAAGTGATATAGAAATATAGGATAAATATTTTATGTTGCTATAGATTTTAGTTTTTTATACAAATTTAAATTTAATTGTGTTATACTGTATGTATATTTCTACTCTTGTTTAAGGTATTATGTTTGTGCAGCTCATTTGAAATTGTAATTTATAATTAAGAAATGCATATTATTAGCCACCCAAGATAATCAAGCTTATAATCATGCTAGTTAAGCTTTTTAGGTATAGAACTGTATATTTCAATTAGGTAGGTAAACTCCAAACACTTCAAAGACTTACAGAATATGGCATTTAAAATGTTTTAAAAACTTAGACTTTCTGGATAGTGAGACATGTCTGTCCTGGCAGCACTGATTTACTTCAAAGAGAAAGACTGTCATTGAAGATACTCTATATGGAGTTTATGTTATTGGCAAAAATAGCCATTTGGGGGAGAAACTCTTCTTGTCAGGACTGATTGACAAGATGTTGTATAGACTGGACATGCACGACCCATGAAAAAGTGACCAATAAATTTTGCCAAAACAAAGCAAAATTTTTCTTCAGGTTCCTGCTTCACAGAGGAGACTGCCAGACATTTTACAGGACACAGAGAGAAGTGACTGAGAGACTCTCTGCCTATATGGCTAAAGATGGATGCCCCAAAATTACAGAGGAATTTTGGATGACTGTCTAGGCAGGCAGCTGCCTCTATCATTTCCTGTCTGTCTATACAGACCTCCATACCTCCATGGTTAACTACTGTTGGAATTTAAGGTATGTGCCACCACACCTGGCTCTGTTTCCAGTGTAGCATTGAGATCACAGACATCCAGACAGATCCCTGCATGCCAAGTGATGGGATTAAAGGCATGTGCTACTATTGCCTGACTTCTTTGTTTACTTAGGATGGCTGGGTTTTTCCTCTGATCTCCAGACAAGCTTAATTTATTAAAGCACAAATAAAATATCACCACAGATAAGTATTTCTCTACAATGAGAAAAAGGTATTTCCCTGTGAACTACAAGTCTACAAGATATCATATCAGTCCTGACTAGAAATAGAAGATAAGGAATTCATCATACTGGTCCCTGATCCATCTATCCTACAGCATTAGTTAGGTACATCTGTTTCATGACCTGATATTAGAGCAAAATATACATGAATAGCCTGAATTTATGTTGTATTTATTTTTGTTTTAAAATTGAAGCTATACTTGTGACATTTAAACACATATGCACACATATCCCTACATAGTGCTCTTGGCTTGTCCCATTCCTGGGAGCATAGTACAAATCCATTTTTCTTTCATGAAAATATTCAGCTTCTGAAAAGCTCAACGAAAACATGCCTTATCCAAGAGTAAGTGGACTCTGGACCTGAAGAGGTAGACATGGAGAGATAAAATGATGTAAGTACACATATCCTGCCAACCATGAGGATCCTTGTCAAGTAGATCTCCCCTCTCTCCTCATTCCTTTATATGACTGCATGTGCAGTGTGGGGAACAGATTGAGTCACAGCATATATTTGCTTCATTTCTACTTCCGTCTTAATGTGATTATAGTTTTCTGGACTTGTTAACTTTTCTGTGAGTACCACAGTGGGTTATACTCTTCTGTTGACCCCTTTATCTGCATTTCTCAGGAATTCATACATGGATACATGGAATATACATCTGAGCTTATGATTCATTGTGATTCCCAGACATCAGGTGCTCTGTCCCAGGTACAGTCTGAAGAAGGTAGTCAAGACTTTGTTCTCTCCTGTTGTCACATTACTACAAGAGAGAACTGCTAGAGCAGAATCCAACTGTTCCCAGAAAGGAGGAGGCTACCATTTAGAGGATCACTGATGATAGTCTAGAAACAACTTAAAATCAATCTCTGAAACATCCAGTCAGCATCTCCAGATAAACAACAACCATTTCTCTCTGCAGATGAGCTCTATGAGGACCAAAGTTGCAGGAATATGTTATTGCTAAGGGAGATAGCATAACTTCAGTGTCAACCATGAAAAACCCACCTGCAGGTGAGCTCAGAACCAAAAGGGGGCACAGTGGAGACAAGAATCCCCAGTAGAGATGAGGTTGGTGTGGAGGGGACTCCCAGATCATTCATATGGCCTCTGCTGCCCTGTTCTCACCAGTAAAGATAGTATAAGAATTTTCAAAACTATAACATGGATGGAGAGAAACTCCCGAGGGCCCACAACAGTCTGAGGATCTATTGGCATTTGATGATGGATGAGGAAAACATAATCAATTTTCTTTGGAAGGTTTCCTATATATGAGTGAATGACTGCACCTATGTGTATATAAATGGAACGGACTGGACTCACTGTGATGCTAGTTATTTAAACAGAGAGGTCAGGAGGTTGGGAGTGAGACCTATTCTATGGTCCCAAGAGGAATCAATGGGACATAGTGGGTGTACATATGATCATACTATATTTTATACATGGATTGAAATTTCAAAGACTATAAATTATGGGATGTAAAAATAACAATTTTACAATTGTTAGCCATTTTCCTCCACATGTATTTTGTACAGTGTGTATATTTCCCCCATAATCTCTACTCTTCATTTTCCTTCCCCTCCTACCTCACCTTATTCTACTAGACAATTTCACTTATACTTCATCATGTATTTGCATTCATAGTTGTACCTAAGTATGTAGTATCTAAGAACTGCTAATGAGGGTCTCATTTAATGTCTGTGTTTCTGAGATGCTCTTAATACCTAATTTCTAGCTGCATTCATTTTTCTATAACTGATATAATTTCCATATTCCTTGGAGATAAAAAACTTCTGTTGTGTTGTTTATGGAAACACATCTTCTTGATGAAAACCTCTGTTGAGTGATACATAGTTTATTTCCGTAATTTAGTTATGTGATGTTGCTGCAATAATCATTGTTGTGCAAATATTTCTGAAGTATATTTACTTTTTGTGGTTTGGGTGAGTTTCTTAGTATACAATTTGTTGGAAAGGCAAATATTAATTGCATGTATCTGAAAGGAGGTTGCAAATTCTCATAACTTATCTGGTTTTAAATTTCCCATCACCACCACCATTATCACAACCACCATCTGTAATTCAATCTGACAAACTTGTCACAAAGTGGAGAAACTATGTCAGGCCTCACATCTATGAAAAGCATAGGTCCTGATTTTAGATCCTCAGTATCTGCACAGGACTCAGGGAAGGAGCAAATTACACATTTCCTCAGAGAGTATTAGTACTTGGCCCTCAGTATCCTGCTGCCTAACCCAGGTGTTCTCTACCTCTTTCTTCTCCAGGACTAGGTACTTATCTAAGAAGTGCCCTGATCATGAATATGCAAATTACTTGAGTCTATGGTTGTAAATACAAGGATGTACAATCCCCTCAACAACATATGATCAGTGTCCTCTCCACACTCACTGAGCACACAGATCCTCACCATGGGATGGAGCTGGATTATTCTCTTCCTCCTGTCAGTAATTACAGGTAAGGGGCTTTCCAGTTCCAAACCTGAAGAAGGAACAGGGACTGAGGTGACAATGACATCCACTCTGCCTTTCTCTCCACAGGTGTCCACTCCCAGGTCCAGCTGCAGCAGTCTGGTCCTGGGCTAGGGAAACCTGGGTCCTCAGTGAAGTTGTCCTGCAAGGCTTCAGGCTATACTTTCACTAACTATGGTATAAACTGGGTGAAGCAGAGGCCTGGACAAAGCCTGGAGTGGATTGGATTTATTAATGCAAATGGTGGTACTGACTACAATCAGAAGTTCCAGGGCAAGGCCAAACTGACTGTAGACAAATCCTCCAGCACAGCCTACATGGAGCTCAGCAGCCTGACATCTGAGGACTCTGCGGTCTATTATTGTGCAAGAGACACAGTGTTGCAACCCACATCCTGAGTGTGTCAGAAACCCTGGGGGAGCAGAAAGCTGCCCTGGGACTGAGATGACAGAGAAGATCAGCCTGGAGACTTGCTGAGAAATAATCATTCAGAGTGTCCATTAGTCTGCCATTTTACAATCTTTTAGGGTCTTTGTCAGCTTTTGAAAAGAACATCAGAGAATAAAGTGATGCTGATTCAGGAATGTTAGAGTGCACCATACCATGATCAGCTGTTTACTAGTGACCACTTCCCTTGACATGATTCCTTTTCAATAAACTAAAATAGTACAAATTGTAGCAATACATTATGATAAAAATATCTCTTAAATATAAGGGACTGGAACTATTGCTACAGTATCTGGGAATAAACTATAGTATAAATTAGGCCAGTAAAAGAGAAATCAACAGCATATGTACAAACAAAGCCCCTTTCAAAGTCCAATTTGGTTTCCCTAAAACAAGAAAAGGTAGTTTGCTGAAATGGATCCCCAAAGATTATGGGGTAGATTCTTTTACATCTGCTATGCAATAAAAATTATATCTTTAATTATTGATATATGAATTGCTTTTGGAAGTAATAATCAAATCTCTTATTGTTTTAGGATTAGGGATGGAGCTGAGTGTCATGTGGAGTCCCCAGGGTGTGGAGTCTGATACTTTCGCAACAAGCTGGGCTCAGGCTCACACAGCACTGGGGAAAAAGCAGTGGGATTCCAAGCTGGGAACGTAGAGACCTGATCCTGTCATCAGCAGCCGTGGGTGCTCATTCCAGTTTCCTGAAATTGGATTCTCTTTGTCACCACTATCCACATAGACTGGACCAATGAAATGCATCTTACATTGTTCAGGTGTTCTAGAGGGAGGTTTAGTATACTGACGATGATTAGCAAGTTTTAACTTGTATTATTTCTGTAAATTGCATGTTCCCTCCACATTTGAAACACATAGGAGACCACAAGGACAAGCCAGAATCTGAGCCTTATGCTCCTCTGTGCCATCATTTTGAGACGCTTTTTATCAAATCAGCAATAGTATGAGAGGTATCAACTTCAGAATGAAGCTCTTTACATTAAATTTTGCATTTTAATGAGTAGATGAAAGAGATAAGGTGGACACTACTTCTTTATTATCTGTCTGCTGCTCTATAGCTTGTTGCAGATGAAGGAATAAGTCACAAAGGGCTCTGTAGATTTCTGTCCATAGTGGGAAAGATGCCTGTGGGAGTGTTAATATCAGGAAATTATTCCAAGCCCTGGTAGTAGATTGGCTGCTTTGGCTGTCATCTACTTGAGGGCTGTCAAGCTGTTTGGTCACTGTTTGGAAGTTTCCTTTTCTAATAATTTGATGATAAGTAATGTTTATAATGGTCCCTGTGTTTGGTTATGAGCAGCAGTGAACAGGCATTTGTAAATTCATTACTGAAGCCATAGATTAAACTAAGGTGTGGTAAGAATTGTTTTCATAAGGGCTTGTCAGGCTAAGGGTATTATTTCATAGATATTTATCATAATAATGTCTATTATTCTTGTAGGGAAATGACTATCAACCCCGTTTTCTGCACCATTATTTTTGAGATCTTTCTATGTGGAGAATGGTGGTGGGGGGCCATGGGTGGGATTTGTCATACTTCTCTAATGATTAGAAACATTGTCTGTCACAGTTCAGCCTGAGAAACTTCCTTAATGCCTTCTGTGGGTATGGATCAATTAATATATTAACATACAGAAGAGAAGTATGAAGAGAAGATGCAAATGATTTAGCAGGAAGACATTTTTTTCTGGGACTTCCCTTTCCTTTGGTGAGACTGCAGTGCTAGCCTAAGCTGGTTCCACAGGATTAAATGTTTTAATACAACTGGTCCCATAGAACTTATCGTGATTTTTTCCTCAATTTTCGGAATGAGTCTCAGGGCTGTGACACCATGAGTGTTTCTTAGTAACATTCAATAGTTGATGAGTTTATCTTAATTATGCATCAACTTAAGTTCATTTATGTAAATTTTGCAGTTGGTTGGAACACATTAATAATAAACTCAGATTCATCAATAATGTTTCCACATCACATTAGGGAAAGAAATCAAACAATTCCCATTGATGTCATTTAACTAAGAGTAAGTCCAGATTTAAATCCCCTACTTGACTCTTCCTGTGTTGTCTTCTGTTGTATCTTTTGTAGGATCTGAATCTCTGCATCTATCTCCATCTTTGCTTCTGCATCTCTGTCTCTGTCTCTGTCTCTTTCTCCCTCCATCTCCTTGGATCTCTGTCTCTCTGTGTGTCTGTGTCTGTCTCCCCCTCTCCCTCCCTCTGTAGCCCTTTCTCTCTCTGAACTTAACAAAGAGCTTTGTTCTGTATTTGTTGAACATCACAGAAAGTATCACATGGGAAAAGAATAAGGGTTTTTGAGAGAAATTTTTTTTAATTTACTAATGTTTATTAAGATTAAAATCAAAAGCAACAAGAACAATATTGTAATGCCAAAGAATAACAGTATTTAACAAAAATATTTGGAATTTTTATTTTTTTTAGTAAATTTATTTTACAACATCATTTAGTTCAACATAATAGCCACAGATTCCCCTGTTCTCCCACTCTCGCCC